TGAATTAAAGTTGGCTCTGAACGTTGCTCCGTGGTCCCGCCGTGCCTTATTCACATTACCTATCCAGGTGATGATAACCACCTACACCCGCCATTTGAATATGAAATCATCATGGGATGAAGGTGAACAATTAATCAAACAACACTCTGAATAAATGGTCAGATGAATATGGGAGCAATAGAGGCATAAAAATACTAGCAGTAAAAAATTATAGTAAAGAAGTTAAATATGGCCCCCAGGCCAAGAATGAACACAATCTAATTAAGTTTTTAAGAGCATGTATGATGGGCACACACTGAGTTATTTGATGGCGTTTTTGACAATAACATGTTAAACTGCAGCATAGGTGCATTGTGCTTTTTATGGATGTTTACATTTCTTACACATTTTGTACACATCTAATGTTTAAATCCAAACAAAAGGAACTGTACGTGTCATCTGTAACACACCCATTCTCTGAGTATATGTGGGTGAATCTGCCTTCAGAAGGCCACTCGGGTGGCAGCTCCAGCTCAGGGATGAAAACACCGCTCAGATTTCTTAGCAGGCTTTCAGCTGTCCTTAACATCAGAAGTATTGATTGTGCTGCTCACACTGGCTCAGTGAAGTGTTAGGGGAGAGCTCAGTCTGCTCGGGACTTAGCTTTACTGTAAAACATGGAGACTGGGTGATTAGGCTAATCAATGTAGGTCTGTCTGTCTGTCTGTCTGTCTGCATGCATCTGACATTGGTTGTGTGCTGTGTCCACCTAATATGTTGTTACTTTATGCGGGGTGTACATGTGTTTTTGTGAATATCTGGTTGATATTCTGTCTCTCTCCACTAAAATGAAGCTATCATAAAAACACAGTGTTCCTTTCTTTGTAAGGAACACTCTTGAACACAGTATGTGTTGAATCCAGTGTTCTGAAGTGCTGAGGCCAGCAGCTGGGACCATGAACCCATTGTGAAAGTGTCTGGTGAGGTCATAGACCAAGTGCGGAGCTGGGCAACCTCTGCAAAGATTTCCACACAATCGGACGTGTCTTTGCAGCCAGTAGAGTTCAGCCTGTTGGCAGTAGATATTTTTTAACCATATAGCTGTAAAAACATATGACAGCGTTTCTATTGTGGAATGGATAAATATTTTTTCCTTATTGACTTGTTATCTATATTACTGCTAATAATTAGCCGTTGTGTTTGGACAGCAACGAACAGAAGCTTAAACAATATTACTAACTACACTTTAATAGAAATGTTTAATACAGAACTACTAAATGCTAACCTCTTTAAACGTTTGTTGCCAAAAGCCAGATACAGGGCTGATGTCATGCATGTGTGTATGCATGACATCAGCCCTGTATCGACATACAGTTCGGGGGCTTCCTCTCTCCCCCTCGTCCCCGGGGAAACGGGGTGTGGTGGGAGGATGGGCGCTAACACCTGCCGCCGCTCTGCTTCCTTGGTAGGCGGCCTAGCGCCGCAACAAAAGGGAAAGAAAAAATGCCGCCTTTGTATCTGACAGATGGCGAAGCTGCGTCAAGCTCACGGACCGAGAGAGCGAATAGTACCGGAAGTAGCTTGAATTTGTCTTCAAAATAAGAGTTTTTGGCCAGCCGTCTGACGCCATTAGTTTTGCTGTACTTGCTTTAAATGAACTGGAATGACTGGCTGTTCGCTTTATAATTCCAAATAAAGTTAAAAAAATATGCGAGGATCATAGTGGCTATAAATCAAATACAGCACACATGAAGACAAAAGTCAACATCTTCATTTTGATATTTTTGTTCTAATATTTCAAGAATATATTTCACAAAGTTTGATGAAATATGTAAATATGCGTATTTTATTTTGTCTTGTTTCCACCCTGTGTCCTGTTGTACGTTTGGTGTCACGTTTCACACTAAATTAAAAAATAAAATACATTAACTAATAAATAATGTAGGTCAAACGCACCAGTATTACTGAGGCTTTTAACTGTTCACCATGTACGTTTGTGCTTGTCTGAAATATGATATATATATACACATATATTTACTTTATTTATGAGATTTATCAGATGAGACAATATCCCCATTTCTCCAGCGGAAGTGACAATGTTTTTACTTGAATGAATTGGTATCAAACACAAGGAGTTCAGCTGTTTCAACCTGCCTCATTGCTGTGGTTAGTTATAACACAGCTTAGGGTAAGTTGTGACGTATGAGGGAGACCCCATCACAAAATATGAACCTTAACAACTCTATTGCACACTGACCAACACTGAAACCTTTTCTTCACCTAGACTATAAAGCACTCAGTCCCTGCTTTCACATCATGGCCAACTATCACTAAAAGAAAAACGGTGGTAATGTTTTTCTTACTGTCTCGGTATGCTGAAAAAATTAGCAGGAGAAAAACATATTTAGCGGTCATCATGCAGGTAGTTAGTGTTAGTAGCACCTGAGTCAAACTGACAACAAGTGGAATGATTCTGTTGTGAAAAATACGTATTTTATGTTCTTTGGCAGTAAATATGTGAGTTGTTGTCCGGGTTAGTAGATCAAATCTATCGGCTGTGTGGACCGGAAGTGTTGCTGCCGTATTTCTGCAGACTTGACAGTAGCGAGAAGTGACCAGAAGGTGATCGAAAGAAAGGCAAGACATTGTGAGGAGGAAGAAATTCGAGCAGGAGTAAGACAGGGAGGGCTGGAGGCTGGCCCATCATCGCAGTACCAGCGTTTGATAACGCAGAAGAGGAGAGCAGACGGACGGCAGACAGGGAGGACTGAGGACGCAGAGCAGCATCACGATCCGCGGCTGCGTCTCAGTGCCGGAGAGAAAGTGTCCGCATCTCGGCGAGGTAAACAGCACAGCAGCACTAACACCACACGCTGACATTTGATCTGGTGGTGTTCACACATCTGTCACATGTGTTCTTCCTTTACACTGACTCTTAACGCCAACATGTAATGTGCTGCGCGAGTTAGCTACATTTCTCTGCCTGTATGAAATAATGAAGCGTCCTGCATTAACCGAGGGGTCGCAGAATCAGATAAGATCTGTATATGTCAGAGATCATCTTCTTATTGTTGCTGCTTTGGGGTTGCATCCATGCAGGACATATTCGTGTAGCGGCTCAGCCTCCTGGGGACACTGAAGCAGCTCGATCTTTCGGTTCCAAACAGAGTGAGTAGGGTGGGCATGAGGAGCAGAAAAACAGCCCAGTAATCTCCCGAAATCCCAGCCAAGAAAACCGAGGTTCCTGTGGCTCCCAGGCTCTCTAATGATGGTCAGCCACTATAAAGGCATCTGCTAAGAATCTGGAACTTTTGAACAGCATTTGAAATTTGAATCCATGAACCATTACAAAAATCACTTTGCACATGTATCAGTCCTCCTCAGGCCTCCAGAGGCTGCTTACACAACACGCCTATTCTTTCATCTCTTCAGCGGCTGCAAGTGAAATTCATTGTGAAATGTAATTAATAACATGCATCCCTACATGACCGGCTCCCACATATATCAGCTACTGAGACCTTCCTCCAGCATTCAGTTCCTCTGATCATCTGCTCTGAGTCTTTTTTAACTGTTGGACGCTCTTGTTTTAAAAAGAGGCAGCCGCACTTTGGAATAAGTTTCGGTGCTTGGTTTTGAAGACCTGCTGAAAACTTGTTTTATACCTTACCTTAATCTTTCAGCTGTAATTTATGGCTATAAGTTCACAAACTAAAGTATCTAAGGAAGTATTTCTCTGGTACTCAGTGTCAGGCCTACACATCTTACATGTGTTGTTTTATTACTGTGGCACTTTTTACTATGCTGATGTGTAAGAAATATAAATTTATCATCATGTTCTTGTTGTTCATGTTTACTGTTTATAATAAGATAACTAACACGGCTATTTTCAAACACCAAACAAATGAATACTTATTAAACACATACAGTATAAATAAACCTCATCCACCTGAGTCCGTCTGCATAAAAGGCTCAGGATGCAGCCGTATGAGGTGAGCATGGTAATTATAAGAGAATAAATGAAAATGATCAGTAATGATTTTGAATGAGAGAAATGCAGTAGCATCATGAACAGGAGGTATCAGTCATCCATCACTCAGTTACAATAATGACAGTTTTTTTCAGTCATTCACATTTTCTGTGAATTAACAGAAAGCTTATATTTTACAGTTGCAGGACGGAACTGTTAGAACTGTAAGTTTGCACCTTTATCTCGTAGTTGCGTTGGTCAGGTCCATTTGAGATCAGCGTGGCTGTGATGTTTATGTGTAAAATGAGTTGTTCTTGAAGAAAAGTTCACAGCTGGAGTCCTGGAAGATAAACCTACGACCTAAAAGTCTTTTCTCATCCTGCTGTGTTGGAATGAGGCCTTGATGAAGTTGCTCGACTTTGTACTGAGTCTCTGTTTCCACGTTTTCACTTCTTCGGGCACAACCGGGAGACTGTTGTGCTGCAGGCATGGGCGTAAACTAACTAATTCAAGTCCAGTAGTAGACAAGAAGCATTAGCACAGAACTGGTTAGTTGAGAATTTATAGGATTTATGTGATTTGATCTTATGAGTCATATTATTTGGTTCAGATATTTGCTTTGTCCCTGCTAAATTGTTTAAATAAAAAAAATCCTACCTGCATTTAATCGTTTCCTTTTTAATCCTGTGAACTGGTAAAGATTAAACCGTGTATGCATCTTTTATGGTTCTTGGCTGTTCTAATCCTGTAAACAGATCTCCAGGACTTATTTTCCTGACCGCTAAAGTATGACCTAGCCATTTTATCAAGTGCAAGGATCAGGGGCGAGCGTGGCTGTTGGTTGCAACTAACTGTGAGGGCTGCTAGTTGGTCGCATCATGTGAGGATGTTAGGATTGTCCGCAGACCTAGTCAGTTACAGCTAGGCTGTCCCGTACAGTTGCCCCTGTACAGGACGTCTGCAGCTATTATTATCATTAGTCTTTTATTTATCCAGGTAAAAAATCTCATTGAGATTAAAAATCTCATTTTCAAGAGAGACCTGGCATCATAGCAACAAAAGTCACATACCACATAGGTATATAACATTTAAAACAAATACAGTATCCCACACCAACATGTGTAAAATATACAATAACAGGTCAAATTAAGAGTACATTAAAAACAATCGCACTGAGTAAAAGAGCTGTTCTCTCGTTCCTTTAAAACAGACTTAAACTCTCCCAAGGTAACCAATTCTGATCATTTCAGTTCCTCCTGCAGATTATTCCAGGAAGCAGGGGCAGCGTATTTAAAAGCCTTTTCCCCAATTCTGTTCTGATTTTTGGGACAATCAATTGTATGATATTGTGCGAATGAAGGCTGTATTGGTTGTGGTTTTTACACATATAAACACATAAATAAGATGGAACCAGCCCAAGGAGAGATTTATAGATAAAAATCAACCAATGGGAGAGTCTGCGACTATGCAAAGATGGATATTTAGCAGCAGCATACAAAGAACAATGATGTACATGACTTCCATAGCCAGTAATAAAACATAAAGCACAATGGTACACAGTATCCAACCTCTTTAGGTGGTGGGCAGGTGCATTCATAAAAAGCAGGTCACCATAATCCAATAAAGGTAAAAAGGTTGCACGAATCAAATGTTTTCTGACTTGGAGGGAGAAACAGGATTGGTTTCTAAAAAAGTAACCTAGTTTTAGTTTTAACTTCGACACAAGCCTTTGAATGTGAGTCCTAAATGACAAATTCTGATCTATAATGATCCCTAGATACTTGTATGATGTGACCATTTCAATTTCAGTTCCTTGAATTGTTTTAATCTTAGGAGACGTAGCTAACAACTCTTTGCCATTTGAGAATAACATGAACTTGGATTTCTCTGCATTTAACACCAACTTAAGTTGAGTTAAATGGGACTGAATGACATCAAAGGCAGACTGCAGAAATTGCAGGGTTTGTGCTACTGAAGGGGATGAACAATGAATAATTGTATCATCTGCATAAAGATGAAATGCTGCATTTGACAAATTATCACAAAGGTTGTTTATGTAAAGAGGAAATAGCAATGGTTCTAATATGGAGCCCTGCGGAGCTCCTTTGGATACTGGGAGAAAAGAGGAAGAAGACCCAGCAGCACGGACACACTGTTTTCTTGCTGACAAGTAATTTGAAAACCAACTTACAGCATTTACAGATAGACCAATATTGTTTAGCCTATGTAATAAAATAGCATGGTCAAGTCAAGAAAAAGAGCAGCACAGGAGGTTTTGCAGTCCATTGAATCAACGATGTCATTAACCACTTTAACAGCAGCAGTTATTGTGCTGTGTTGTTTTCTGAATCCTGACTGATGTTGGGAAAGAACAAAAAGTCTTTCAGTTTACTTTTGCTAGAACACACAATTTGGGCCTGTAGTGTTAACTAGGGCTGAACGATTATGGAAAATAATCTAATTGCGATTTTTTTCCCCAATATTGCGATTGCGATGCGATATGCGATTATTTTTTAAGGTCTTTGTCTTCTGTATTATTAAACAAAGACAAGCAATACATCATATAGTATGGCCAATACTATATTACATTAATTTT